CCAGAATTCTCCAGCTAGCTCTTCTGGCTGGAGAACTCTGGGAGTTGAAGTCCACAAGTCTTAAAGTTGCCAAGTTTGGGAACCACTGCTTTAAATGAATGACTAATTGTGGATCTGATAGGTAGAAAATAAAGTGGAATTCAAAGAAATTTCTAAACTAGGACATTAAAATTCTAAAAGGCCTTGGTTTCTTTCTAAACAAACTTGTAAATGATTAAGCAGTTAGTAAGAAGATTGAATTTTATATATCTGTTCTGCTGTGTAATTGAACAGGTGATCTTTTCTGGAATAAGCAGAACCTAGTAATTTAGGAAATAGAACTTTATGACTTTGGCAAGGGATACTTAAAAATTAATTGATGAATTGGGTCCATTTTCTCTCCAATGTGGATGTCAGTAAACTGAAAGTGTCATTACCTAGTTTTCTGCAGTATCATGGGTGTTTCCAATTTTTAAAAACGTAGGAAAAATTGTTTTGAAAAGTTTAGAACTTTCATGAGATGTAGATGAGTTTCAATTTATATTATATTTAAGATATATTTATATATAATATTTTAATGTTAGATATCCCAGAGCATCTTAGGGTAGGAATGCTATGCCACTCTCAGGCACCAAATTTCCAAAATCTTGTTTAAAAGAATTAAATTTTTTATTACTAAATAGTTTTTCAAATAACTGCCTTAGAAATAAAGAAATGCAATCAATTTATATTAGTTACTTTCAAGGAAAATGTTCTTTTTATTTTTATTAGATTCATATTTTGGAGACAAGAGTTCTTATGCAGAAAACATTAGCACAGTAAATATGACAAGCCCTTCTTCCATCAAAGATATAAAGATTTCTAGAGTACGGAAAACACCTGCCTCATCTAACCGACCAGGATGTAGAAACTGGACTCCTTTCATGGGATATTCAGGTAAAGAAGTTGGCTTACTTCATTTCAAAAGAAATATTCATACTAAATAGAAAACTACTTGGACTTCTATTGAATCCAAACTGAAATTAATTTCAGTTAACTTACTTGTATGTTCCAAAGTGATTGTAAAGATCTCTAGAAGGATCTTTTTAAACTGGGTAAATGGTCACTCAAATTGCTAATATAGAGCAATTTAAGTATACAAGGTTCTCAACTTACAACTGTTCATTCAGTGACAATTCAAGTGACAGATAACTGGTTTTTTTCATTTATAACCGCTGCAGAATTTCCATGGTCATGTGATCAAAATTGAAATGCTTGGCAATTGGCATATATTTATGACAGTTGCAATATCTAGGGTTCATGTAATCACATTTTGTGAACTTCTGACAAGCAAAGTCAAGGAGAAAGCCAGATTCACTTAACAAGCTTATTACTAACTTAACAACTGCAGTTATTCACTTAACAACTGTGGCAAGAAAAGTCTTAAAATGGGCAAAACTCACTTAACAACTGTG